GATCTTGCCGTCCACCTCGAAGGCGTCCTCCTTGCGGCGGCGGTCGTGCGCCGTCTTCGGGACCATCTGGAACAAGTTGGGCTCCTCCAGGTGGCGGCCATCCCTGTAGACGAGCACGTCGCACTTCACCTTGAACTTCTCCAGGAGCTTGGCAGCCTGGTAGACGTCGCCGAGCACCGTCGCGTACTCCTCGTCAATCTGGAGGGTGATTCCGTCGCCGCGGCCGAGCACTTGCATCTTCGACAGGTCGGGCTCCACCACTGCGTCCTCCTCCGCTGCGTCCTCCTCCGCGGCCTCCTCCTCCATCTCTTCCGCCTCGGTGGCTGGCTCCACGTCCTGGATTTCCTTGGCGGTGTTAGTTTTCCAGAAGGCCTCTGGGGGGTTCTTTCCAGGTTCCGTGCGGCCCAAAAAAAAGGGAAAATACAATTGTCGCAAAAATCATCAGGCTGGAAAGGCTCCGGCGGTGTGGTGCGGAACTTGGGTGACTAAAAAAGGCAAGAAAGATAGGAGAGTCAGCAGCCCGCCATTGACAGCAGTGCAGCAGGCCCATACACCACAATCAAGCCCCCCCTGTTGCGAAACAAAACAAGTTTCAAACAAAAAGAATCATGGTGTGCCGTTAGAGCGCGATTCCCCCGTTCCCAGTCCCTTGCCAGCCTTAAATCCGCTTAAGGAAGCTGCTTGTCGTTTGAGGAGTGTGCTGAAATGATATCGAACCTCAAGATATATAAGAATAAGACCCATCAAACGTGAAGTTTGGACTAGTTATGACTAGTTATGAGTTATGACTGGTTTCGAGCAAAAATCAGACTTATTTTGCCGAAGCCGGCTCAAATTGAACACAATTCCCGTGTTGCATATGGGCCGCCTGGGCCGCCATTCTGGGCCATGAGAAACAGCTTGAAACAGCCAAAAACTTCAAAAACAACGCTTCGACTCGCAGATTCGCAGATCTCCCACACTTCCAAAACACAACGTTCAGGGGTTTGCGGCACGAAAAGCAACGTTGAGGAGTTTAGGGCTCGGCTTGGATTACACTACTGGGAGGCGGCTGCAAGGCTGCCGCAAGGCTGCAAGTCTACAAGCTCACTGTTGTTGCCACTGTTGCGGCGCAGCTTTTCTTTCGCAATCACTCTAAATCTCGGAATCTCGATGTTGCCGCTGCCGCTGCCCCACTGCCACTTGCCA